AGCGGACGCATAAGACCTTTTCACAGAAAACGCAAACATCACGAGAGCACATGCCGATAACCTGACTGTGTGGAAGAAGGCGTGTGCCCTCGGTGAGGAGGCACCGGTCATGAAGGCTGGAAGCTGTGCAGGGCCAGTGCAACCCCAGCCAGACCCCAGCAACACTCCAGGGCACACGACACGCTGTTCCAGACGGGTGTGAAAATGCGAGGACCGGCACAGCCCGGACCTTCCTGAAGAAGGAGGAGGTGGTGGAAGAGGCAAGGGTGGGCTGTGGGGCTGGTGCAGAATTGACGGGAAGATGGATGGGAAAGGATAGAGTCTAGAAACAGACACGCCTGAGCACACTTGAGCCAGCAGAAGCCAGCTGGCAAAGTGGAGGGTGAAGGGCACCTTCCCAACACCAGCACCCATGCCCTGGCCATCCCCAGTGCGAGGAAAATGGGGAACTTCACACACGTGTAACATAGGACCTGGCAACTCCACTGTAAAGACAGGCCCGGCAGAAACACAGGCATGCAACAACAGAGGCCCCGTAGCTTTGTTCCTGAGGCCTCAAACCTCGAAACCACCAGAGTGCCCACCAACAGTGGAAACAGAACGTCAACTGTGGAATACCGCTGTGATTTAATACAGGGCGGCAATGATAATCAATAAATTACCACTAGCCATATCAACATGGTTGAATCTCAGAGACAGTGAGTGAGGAAAAATGCACACGCGCACACACACACACACACATCTACACACAAACACATGCAGAAATACACACATGCACACACCAACACACACAGGCAAATACCCAAATACACACATACACACATACATAGAAATACACACATGTACACACCAATACACACATACACACAAATACACACATACACCAATACACACACATACACACCAATACACATACACACCAATACACACAAATACACACAAACACACCCATACACAAATGTACACATATACAAATACAAATATACGAACACAAATACACAATACACACAAATACATATGTAGAAATACACACACACACCAATACACACACATACACACAAATACATAAATGCACACATACACACAAATACACACACATACACATCACACAAATACACATACACACACCAATATACACAAATACACATATACACACACAAACCCACACACATACACATCACACAAATACACACATACACACACCAATACACACAAATACACACATACACACACAAATACACAGATACAGACATACACAGAAATACACACACACACACAAATGCACACACAAATACATACACACAAATATACAAACACAAATACACACACCAATACACACACACACAAATACACATTGCCTGATTCTACCGTATACAGATTGTCAAAACCAAAACAGGTGAAGCTGAATTGCAGAGTTTAACAACACGCTGCGGTGGTGAAGCTGTGAAGAAAAGCACAGAAATCATCCCTGTGAGCGTGGACGGTGCCGCCATGCGGGCTGGGGTTGGCAGTTGGAGGCCGGGGCCCTGTGGGTGGCAGTTCCGTGGATGCTCACTGCGGTGGTGACAGCAGGGTGCCCTCCGTTCCTGCCCCTCTCTGTGAAGCGTGTTAGGATTTGCAACATGAAGGAAGGTCTCTGAACACTTCCCTTGGTGTCCCCCATTTTCTGCCTTCGGGGCTGTGAGATCAGGTGCTCCTGGCTGGCTGCCCACATCTGACGTGTTTGTGCGTCCTCCGGAAGGCGGGTGTGAATGGCGGCTGCATCCTGTGGGCAGCGAGCTCTGGGTTCTGAGCCTCCTCTGAGCCTCCGGGTTCTGAGGCCGCCCCTCACCTGGATGCTCTGGGAGCCGACACAGGCAACCGAAGGAGGGAATGGACCTCCAAGCTCAAGTGTTCTGCTTAACCTGGGTGCTTACACCACGCCTGTGTCAGAATCACAGAGCATGTGCAGGTATGTGTGCCTGGGAGGGAGGGTGAGAGGTGGGGGGAGGGGAGA